GTACCGATATCGTGAAACTCATTGTTTCAGTGAACTGCATGTGCAAGTTACAACAATGAGACGATATGGAGACTCCACATACAAGGCCAAACCCTGGTGCCACTAAACTTGATAAGAGGTTTCCTGTTTCACATTCATGGTAGTTCTAGACCCAATTTTCCTTTGATTTACACTACTATAAATTAAGGATAGTCTGCAGAAAGCAGAAGAGTTAAAACAGTGTAAAAGATGCGTAAGGGAAGAAGACTCGTACACTAATCTCCATATTTTCCGTTCCTCCTTAACTGTGTGTGTGTGTGTGTGTGTGTGTGTAAGAATGACCACACCAATGGTCTATCTAGCCCAGTATCATGTCTTCCAACAGCAGCCAGTGCCAGATGCTTCTAGCATTTGCAGGTTTAGGGACACCCAAATCATGGGATTGCATCCCTGACCATCTTAATTTTTTTAACCCAGTAATTCTTTTGGCCTTTACAACATTGTGTGGCAATAAGTTCCACAGGTTGACTGTGCGTTGTTTGATGTAAACCTGTTGCCTATTAATTTCATTGGGTGTCCCCTGGTTCGTGTGTTATGTGAATGGGTAAATAACACTTGCTTTCTTCATGCCATTCATGATTTTTAGACCTCTATCATATCCCCCCTTAGTTGTCTCTTTTCTAAGATGAACAGGCCCAGTCTTTTTATTCTCTCCCCATATGGAAACCGTTCCATCCCCCTAATCATTTTTGTTGCCCTTCTTTGCCCCCTTTCCAATTCTAATGCATATTTTTTGAGATGGGATGACCAGAACTTCATTCAGTATTCAAGGTGTGGGTGGCCCCATGGATTTATATAGTGGCATTGTGATATAATCTCTCTTTCTAAATGGTTCTTAACATTGTTCGCTTTTTTTGACTGCCACTGCACACTGAGTGGATGTTTTCAGAGAGCTACACATGATGACTCCAGATCTCTTTCTTGAGTGGTAACAGCTAATTTAGATCCCTTTATTTTGTATGTATAGTTGGGATTATTTTTTCCAATGTGTGTTACTTTGCATTTATCAACACTGAATTTCATCTGCCTTTTTTTCAGCCAGTCACCCAATTTTGTGAGATCCCTTTGTAACTCTTCAGAATCATCTTTGAACTTAACTGTCTTGAGTAATTTTGCCACCTCAGAGTTGATCCCCTATTCCACGTGTGTGTGTATATATTAGAGAGAGAGAGAGAGAGCGCACACACAAGCATGGCTCAGGCCATGTTGAATTAGTTGATTGATGTATTTTTGGTCCTCTATTTTTATTTTTTGTATCTATAATGTATTATTTTAACATCTTAGACAATCCTAAACTCTGAATTAGCATTAATTGTGCCTTTCTGTAATTTCAAGAATTGGTCTTATTTTAGTTTTAACCTTACCTCTCAGTTTCCCGGATTTGAGGTTCTGGGTGTTTTTTGTTTGTTTTGAACATAGATAACTGCCATATTTCTGAAGTTTTTAAAAACTTCAGTGGTAGCTTCAGTTTAATTTAGCAATTTCCCTAATGAAGAACATCTTCATGAAATATCCAGCAGCTGAGGAACTGAAGTCTCATCTTCAAAGTTAGGCTGTTCTCTTGACACTACATTGTTTCTGCAGACTGGATTAGCTTAATTTGCTCATATTAAATGTTAAACGAAGGTTACTTCACAGGCTAAAACAAGCAGACAGTCCATATATTATTTCTATACTATGGACTTAACCGATCAAGGTGAATGAGAATTTTCACGGGAGTTCAGCAAGTTACATAAGAACTCCAGGACTGCTCTTGGAATTGATTTGAGGAAACAAAACAGAACAAAAAGCTCCTTAGTGTTTTAGTCTGAATTACATTTTGCTCTGACTTGGCACTGGTAACAGCCTACATACCTACACCAACACTTAATTTACATGATGACAACCCTCCATTCCCCAGCTGCTTGTACACTCCTGAATTCCTTTGGTCCCAATCCAGGGTGAATAAACATTTTTGTGTGGGGGCATGTATGTACTTACACCGATGTAAGTAATCAAGCCCTATTTGGTTTCATCCACCACACTTCCATCCAATTTTTAAAATAAGCAGTCAGTCACAATTGTTAACTTTATTTATATGAGGACAAGACTCTCATGCCAACTAAAGTTCAATATATAGACCTATTCAGGGACATCCTGCTGAATAGAGACTATAATATGAAAATTGGGTAGCATCTTTGTTAGACACCTAGCGGTACTCTAGATCAGCAATACAAAACTAAACAAACTGCGGACCAGCGTGGATTAGGACAAGGGTTGTGGAGCTTGCTAACAATCAGTACCGATATCGTGAAACTCATTGTTTCAGTGAACTGCATGTGCAAGTTACAACAATGAGACGATATGGAGACTCCACATACAAGGCCAAACCCTGGTGCCACTAAACTTGATAAGAGGTTTGCTATTGACTACAGTGGGACCAAGATTTGGGCAATATCTGAGCTTTCATTTTCTAAAAAAAACTTCACCATTCAATAATTTCATTAATGACTTGAACGGTCATAGGTGGAGTGGAAAATAGGCTTATGTAGTTTGGAGGACAGGATGAGAGTCCAAAAGGACCTTGACAAATTGGAGAATTGCTCTGAAATCAACAAGATGAAATTCAGGAAAAAACAATGCAAAGTATCACACTTAGGAAGGAAAGAAAAAACAAATGCACAACTACAGAATGAGGAATAACTGCAAGAAAGAATCTGGGGTTTGTAGTGGATCAAAATTGAACATGAGTTGTTAATGCGATACAGTTGCAAAAAAGCCAAAAATACAATTCTTGGACACATTAACATGAGTGTTGCATGTAAGGTAAGGGAGGTAATTTTCATTGTACTCGGAACTGGTGATGTCTCAGCTGGAGTACTGACCAGTTTTGAGCACCACAACTTTAAGAAAGATGTGGACAAATTGGTGAGAATCCAGAGGAGAGCAACAAAAATAATAAAAGCTTTAGAAAGCTCAACCTATGAGGAAAGGTTAAAAAAACTGGGCATGTTTAGTTTTGAGAAGAGAAGACTGATAACAGGCTTCAAATATGTTAACGGATGCTGTAGAGAGAAGAGTGATCAATTGTTTCCATGTCCACCTAGGGTAGGACAAGAAGTAATGGGCTTAATCTGCAGCAAAGGAGATTTAGGTTATATATTAAGAAACCCTTTCTAACTATAAGGGTAGTCAAGTTCTGGAATAGGTTACCAAGGGAAATTGTGGAATCCCCATCACATAAGAACGACCATACTGGGTCAGACCAAAGGTCCATCTAGCCCAGTATCCTGTCTTCCGACAGTGGCCAATGCCAGCTGCCCCAGAGGGAATGAACAGAACAGGTAATCATCAAGTGATCCATTCACTGTCTCCCATTCCCAGCTTCTAGCAAACAGAGTTTAGGGACACCATCCCTGCCCATCCTGGCTAATAGCCATTGATGGATTTATCCTCCATTTATTTATCTAGTTCTTCTTTGAACCCTGTTATAGTCTTGGCCTTCACAACATTCTCTGGCAAAGAGTTCCACAGGTTGACTGGGTCACTGGAGGTTTTAAGAAGAAGTTAGACAAACACCTGTCAGAGATGGTTTAAATTCACTTGGTCCTGTCTCAGTATGGGGTGCTGGATTAGATTACCTGTCAAAATATCTTCCAGCCCTACATTTTTATGATTCTATAACTTTACTTTATTTGATAACTTTGAGAGTCAACAGTTCAAGTAGAAGCTAGTATGATTTGTCACAGCCAGCAGGTGGTATCCAAAAGAACAAGTTCATGTGGGGAAGGAGTTAGGATAGGAATCAAACAGGTATGATCTAATTGCGAAGTAAATCTAGGGTTGAGATTATACCTTTTGAAGAGCAAGGTGGCCTGACACAGGCTGGGTATAGAGGAACCATTATTTAAAAAAAAAATCTGTTCTCTGGCTGTGAATGCTTCAGCTATTGTTCTTGTTTGTTTGGTTTTGGGTGTTGTGTAATACACACACAGAGTCTTCAGAGGGTCAAGAAAAATAATTGTTTTATCCCTGTTCATATTCATGCATCTGTTGGAAGCTATTGTTTCTTAAGACTGACCTGGGGGGCAATCCCTTCCTGGCCCCACATGTGGTGATCAGTTAGATCTTGAGCATTTGAGCAAGAACCAACCACTTGAGAGAGAATGCTGGGTGCCACCTCAGACTCCTGGCCCTCCCTGTCCAATTCCCATCTCCAGCTGTGGCCATCTCTGACACTTCAGAGGAAGCATACATTGGGGGTGGGGAAGAAGGAATCCCTTCCTGATCCTTCCAGGTGGCCAGCTAAAATCCCAAAGCATGAGCTTTTAGGAACATGAGATGTAAACTGGAAGTGAGCCCCAGCCCTGAACTCTGCCCCCTACCATCAAAAACAAACCCATCATATAGTTTCACTCATTCATTTGCCCAGCTCTCTCTCAAAACTAATCCGGCGTTGGGGGGCAAACAGCTTCTATTGGGAGGCTGTTCCAGAGCCTTACCCTTCTGATGGTTAGAAGTGGTTTTGTACAAATTGCCAATTTGTATGTGGGCATCAAAGTGCAACTTGAACATCCCAATGCAGAATGGGGTTCCGTAAGTTAATCACTTGTGAAAGTTTTGAGTCTGAGTTTTGTACAAAAGCTCCTGAAATAGTCAGTGTGCTTTTAATCTGTCCCACATTCATGTCCGACACTCCCCTAGATGGGTTTGCACAAGTTCTGACTTCTCAGATTAGGTTTAGCAAGCCGTCCACACCAGGTGACTGCCAGTTTGATATTCTTCTGCTTGAACTACATCAAGGCTGAGTAAATATTGTACTACATGAGAGATCTTATCACTTCTGGTGCCTACCCATGTATCTTAAACAACCAAGTAATCACACCAATAGATGACTCTGCAGCCATTGTTCTAGGAGTGCCCTGCTTCTGGGTTTCTGTGCTCCCCTATCACAGCTCATTTATGTAATTTATCATAAGGATGTGTTCCTAGGCAGTAGTATAAAACCTTTAGCTTCATTTGTTGGTTTTAGGTGCTTTGGGGAATGAATTGGGGGGGTTGTTGTTGTTTTTTAAGCACACCTGCCACTGTGATGTGAGTGCAGAATCCATGTTCAGGATGGAAGACCTAGCAGTTCTAATTATGTACAGTTCATCAGACTTAATTAGCAGCACCAGGTGTTCCAAGATCTTTGTTTATATTCGTCACTCCCTGGCTAATTGGATCTGTATTGAGACAGGGGAGGTTGCATTGCTGTGTATATGCTGTGCCACTCTGTGTTGATGCGGGAACAGGGGGGAAAGGGAAGATAACATTTTTCCTGGCTATGATAGCGTCCTTACAAGCTTTAAGCAAAGATAGCCAACACCACACCAGTATCCTTAGAAAGAATCATTAAAACTTTTAAACAGGCATTACCACTTAGCAGACTGAGGCAATTAGTAAACTCTGTGAGAGACCAGTTGAACAACGATTGTCAGTTCACATGGAAAAATATTCTGTGGCTTGTGCAAGTGTCCTGTTTGGAAGCTAAATAATAATAATAAAAAAAAGTAAGAACTATGCACACAGACAGTGAGATTCCCCTTATAACCCTGGTGCTGTCAGCTCCACAGCAGTCTGGAGCCATGTTAATGCTTGTTATCTCTTTCTCTCTCTCACCCTAGAATAACCCCAGCAATAAACTGGTGAACACCAGCAGCACAGTCACAGCAACGCATATCAAGAAATTCACTTTTGTCTGCATGGCTCTATCGTTAACGGTAAGGAGTCACTCGTCAACTCTTTTTAGTTTCAATCTGAAGCAAAAAATTACTGCACGTGTGTGAAGCTGCAAACACCAAATTCAGATTAGCAGAATCTCATCAACATATGGTGCCTACCCATGTATCTTAAACAGCCAAGTAGTCACGCCAGTAGATGACTCTGCAGCCATTGTTCTAGGAGTGCCCTGCTTCTGGGTTTCTGTGCTCCCTCGCTTTGGCTATGAAGCTTAAGGCAGTTTCATCTTCTAAAATAGCCTGTGTAGAAGAAGCAGTGGGGCAGAGGGGTTCTGCTTCTTGATTTGCTCAAAACAAATAAGAGAAGAGTAGCACAAAGTGGGTAACTTATATGCCTTATATATTGCAATGGAAAGGTTTTGTTTTATTTCTTGTTGTTTTATTGGCACCGCTATAGCACTCACCAATTTTTGTTTTAAAATAAGTCTGCAGGGATAGGGAAAGGACAAGGGTTCTGCATTTCTTCCAGAGAACAATAATTAGATGCTCATTCACCCAAGCTGGAGTGTGAAACAACAGCTGAGCCCCTGCACCCATAGTTTAGCTTGAATAAGACTGAGGACCAAATTCTGGAATCTCTGGTAGACGTTCTCTATGAGATGATGTGAGCTCCCCATGGCAAGGTAACTCAATTACCCTAATTAATATACTTAGTTACTCTATCTTGGATGTTCAAAAAAAGATGAGCTTCCCTGGTTCAACATTTACTACTTAAACCCTGCATATTGGAAAAGATTTTTGTGGGGTATGAAGGCTCAAAGTGTATTTCATTGTTTTACTTTTCCCTTATTGAGCTGCATTTCCATTCAGGTTCTGCTTTAAGCTTTGTTACTTGTTGTCTTACTTAACAGTGGGCACTTTTTAAAAACGCAACAACTTTCAATTTTTACAATATCACAGGATTTTTTTTTATCTGATTTGTGGATGCAATTGATTTGTGCCCAAAATAATCAAGTTGTTTCATTGTCAGAATCCTACTATTGAAGGCTGCTGGTTGTTGTGCACACTAAGAACTGCACAACTGCATCTGCAAAACTACAAATAGAGACTGTTTCTCAAAATTTAGCAGTAAGGTGCATGGACAGTGATGATATAGTAATAAAAATGTTACCAGTCAGCCGTCTCTCTCTCTCTCTCTCTCTCTCTGCATATTCATCTGTGCTAGCATGAATTTGTGGTTTGCGAATGTAGCAGAATGCTGAATCACTGAAGATATGCTGATCGCACTCTTTGGAGTCAGCAGCTGTTGCCTGGACGATCCTTGTTTATTACTGCTCACTGTTGAATTTAAAGTGGAAAAATAATCACATGAGAGAGAGGATTTGAGTTTCAGGGTTTTGGTTTGTGTTACATCATGCCTTTCCATGGAGCAAGTACTGATAGTAACATCACAGGCCCGCAACTTGTCCCTCACCCCTCCTTCTTCCCCCTCCCAAACCCAAGTTAAATCAACTAGAAATGTCTCCAAATCTTGTCTTGGGGTTGGGCTGTGGCAGCTGAGCCTGTTCCAGACAAAGCTTTGCTTGATGAGTCTCTTAGCTTGTCTCCTGTAGAATGGAAACTATTTTCTGAACCCACATCATCCCAGAAATGGCCAGCGTACCAATGCGTACAACATATTTTTTGTAAGACCATTCTTTCTGCACCAAGGGTCTGTTTAGAAGCAATTCTAACAAGCAGTTGTGGAGATGTGTTACATTTCTATGACTTTTTCCTTCATCATATTTTGAGGACAATTCTCTTCCCTCATTTTGAAGAGGAAACTGGACCCCCAGCCAAGAGACTAACACAGCCTTCGACATAGACTTCAGTATCAAAGCAAGTGGTGAAGAGGATGGTCATAGTAAATACAACTACTATTTTGGCATACGATGAAAGAAGTGTTTATACTAATGCTCAGCATACTCTTGAGCCTGTGCTAGTGACAACCATGCATGGACACAGTTGTTGCTAGCAGGTTTGAAATACAAGCGCACTCCCTGATGAGCACAGAAAGCCATGCTGTGCAACGTCCACGCTAGCTCAACAGTGTTACAGAAAACCTATAGGGTTTCTCTCACGTCTCTCTCTCACAATTTAGGTCCAGCGCTGTTAGAGTCTCTAAGTTATACTCCAAACAACTTGTTAGTGATGACAGGCTTTTGGCTTTGCTTGATTGGCCACAGGTTGGCTGCTTCCTGGATCTCTGGTGTTGTGTCCCCTTTATTGCTCAGGGCTTTCTCTAGATCTTCTTGCTCTAACTTCTCCCAAGTCCAAGGTGACTGTCTCTCCTGCAACATGGGCCCAGCAGAGAGCTAGACCCTCCTGCAGCCTGCCAGAGCGCTCTGACTCACTGGAGTCACTTTTCAGAAAGCCTTTTCCTCCTCCCAGATTGCAGCACTTGTATTTCAACACTCAAGGCTTCATATAAACTGATTATTTTCTTAACCCTCTTAGGCATTTTTCAGCTTACAAAGGTTCTGATAAATCCTGAGCTTCTCGCATTACCAGCACCACCCTGCGCAGAACTATTTTTAATCTTCTGTTTAAGCTTTTCTTTTATAGCTTTCCAGACTATTTTTACATGCTTGAAGCTATCTCCCTCTACTCAATTGGCACCATTTTTTCATAAGCTCATAGTAGGAAACCCATCTGTCTAGAAGTACCCAGAACAGTCCATTTCCATGGCTTTTCTTGACTATTTTTATTTGTGCAGCATTACCTAGGATCATTCACCAATAAACCCAACCAAAAAGTAGAACCATTAGTAGAGTGCATTTCCTAGTTAGTTCCTCTTGTCTGCCATACTATTTGCTGGGAAAGTCTGTCTATCCAGGGCTAAAGTATAGAAAGCCAGCTTATAAGCCTGATTCAATTCAGGGGCTTGATCCTGCAAACATGTGCACATCGGACTTTAGTGGGACTTAACTTTCTTCATGTTATTTACATAGTATTTAAGTATATTTATATTTATTTAAGTAGTTGTAGGGTTGAACTCCAAATTTGCATCTGCTGCAGCCAATTCAAACAGCTACAGTAGTTGTTCCTTTATCTGAGGAAGAGCTGTTTCCATCACCATTAGTAACTGCTCTGTTCTCCTGGACCAGCCCTACTGCAATATATTGAGTCTAATGGGATCACTGTCCGTGGGGGCTCAGCATGTTAGCAGGTCTCCTTAGTGTCCAAACATAGAGGAGGAGGGGATATAGTTCAGGAAAAGAGGTTCCAAACAGAATGCCCTGGGGTATCTCCCGCTCCAGTTATGGGGGACCGTGTGTTACTACCACCACCACTGGACACATAGTCCCCATCACTGGAGTGGGGGATTCCCCACAGCATTCTGTTTGGAACCTATTTTCTTACCGGATTAAGGGGGAGGGATAACTCAGTGGTTTGAGCATTGGCCTGCTAAACCCAGGGTTGTGAGCTCAATCCTTGAGGGGGCCACCTAGGGATCTGGGGCAAAATCAGTACTTGGTCCTGCTAGTGAAGGTAGGGGGCTGGACTCGATGACCTTTCAGGGTCCCTTCAGCTCCAGCTCTATGAGATAGGTATATCTCCATATATATATTTAACTGTTGAGAATAGCCCACTTCCACCTTAATTGAACTGGCTCGTTAGCACTGACCCCACACTTGGTAAGGCAACTCCCATCTTTTCATATGCTGTGTATTTATACCTGCCTCTGTATTTTCCACTCCATGCATCTGATGAAGTGGGTTTTAGCCCAGGAAAGCTTATGCCCAAATACATTTGTTAGTCTCTGAGGTGCCACAAGGACTCCTCGTTATTAAGACTCCTTGTTATCCAACATCAGAATGCCTCTCAGTGGCTTAGCTGCACTAAAAAAATCTTTCATCTAATTGTTTCCCTGCCTGTCCCCCCATCCCCATGATATTTAAATATCTGAGTTTCAATGGCCTCTCATACACACAAGCTCTAAAAATAGGACTGTTGGGAGGGAGCTGCAGCTGGCTCTTAATCAGAGGTCTCATTAATCTGATTAATCAGACAAGCTCTCTTATTTATGGTAAATCCTACAGCTGTTTCTTATCTATTTCTGTTCTTCACAGCCTTTAAATGAAACTGCTCGTCAAAGGAAATCTTCCAGTGAAACTCGTGTAAATGCCCAGACACCTTCCACCAAACAATATTATTAATTGCAGTTTCACTACACAAGTAGGTTTAACAAATCTCCAGCAAAATGCTCTGCCTCGGAGTGAAACAGTGTTGACATGACCAAAGGACTGGCTTACTATACTGATCTGTCAACTGTCAGATTAACAGTTGACAAGAAGGGGACTCTTCGTTGTTTTTGCTGATACACTAAATGGCTACCACTCTGAAAGGAGTTTTAAATAATTCAAGCTCCATTTTAAGAATGTGCTTATGTCACGTTTTCCTTTTTTTTTTTTGCTATAAGTAGTCATAAGGCACTTTGGGCACAGATGTTCTTGCACATAGTATGGCTATTGTTCCTCACACAACTTCTGTTGATGGCATTGGGTACTCCTTGGTCTGCAGCTCCCCATGTCTTTCAGTCCTAGGCCTCTTGAGGAGAGACTGCCAATTGTGAGGGGAGTGTAGGGCTAGACCACCATGCTCATTTTCCACTTATAACCTAAGCACAATTTGGACTCCCAAGGGTGAGGCCTGATGTATTCATTCCACAGAGTCCTTGTTTTAGGAAAGATCTGTTTCAGCATCCTATTGTATGTAATACAGGAGTTATAACCAAGAATTTTTCAAAGTACTAAAATGTTGTATTTCTTCTTTGTAAAGCTTCCCCCTCCTCCCTTTTAGAGTAGCACACAAGAACTCTATCCCTCATCCTTATTCTATGCTTGGAAAACTTGGCACTACCCTTGTAATGAGCCAGCTATTAAAATGGCATGAGTAAGCTGATATTAAACGAGAGCTTTTCTCAGAACAGCAGCGGCTTCTCTAGGGTCAGATTTCTCTGAGGTAGCTCAAGATGCAGTAATAGGGCCAAATCCCTTGTT